TAAAGCCCTGATATGACACCCTCAGAACAAAAACTGATCTTGGTGAGGGAGCGTTAACAGACATGGTCTGAGGTGTCTTGTTAGTTGTTTTGTGAACTTTTCATCTAAAGGACATGAACAGATATCTCTTTGTCCTAAACATAATTCCGACAACAGAGCATAGAAACAGTCATGAAATGTCTTGCTTGGTAAAAAAAACAATGATTTTAATTAAGTTTATTTACAGAAACTTGGGCCACTGAAGTAAAACAGTCTCCCATAGTAGCTGTTAATTGTCTTTATATCCTTGGGGATGGGACCTCCTAAGCCTTCTCCTCTAGTAACCATTGCCTGTGAGTCTTGGGGAGATGTGGGTCCCAGTGAGCCCCTCCCTCTGTGACAGAAGGATAATTGGCCCAGTCTTTGCGCAGCTGCTGACAGGTCTTCACCTGTCACTAGCAGTGACACATTGTGCCCACAGGACAGTGTTTCATAGCATGAGTCACAGCTGCTGTGATCTCTAGAGGGTCATGGGCGTATTGTATGCTGAGGACAGCTCTTACCGCACTTCACCTAAAGAAATCTGAAGATTTAAGCTGTTTCTCAAGATCTTAAAAAGTAGCTACTGTATATTTCTTCAGTGACTTTTCTGTTCTAATAAATTATACAAGGAAGAATGACCAAATACTTAGAACTGCAGGAATGTTGACAAAGAGTTCGGTATGAAGGCACATGGTTGTAATCTTAGTACTCAGGAATCTGAAGCAGGAGAATCTCGAGTTCAAAGCCAGCCTGAGCTATATAGTGAATTTCAAGTCATGCTGGGCTACCTAGGTGTAAAAATCTATCAGTTCTTTCTTTTTTGTTTTGTTCTGTTTTTTTAAATTGTAAACAATATATTGATTACCATGTTCCCTTCCCCAACTCCTCCTAGATCTTCCCTGCTCCCCCCACCCCTGCAATTCTACACTCTGTTCTTTGTCTCTTTAGAGAACAAGCAGGCAAACACACTATCATTTAAAAAAAAGGAAAGACATAGTATCCATATAAAAGGCCAGTAGGAAGAAAGTACTCAAGCAAAGCTGAAAAGCTGGTATATTTACACAACAGAATATTGTTCAGCTGTTAGGCAAAATTATGAAATTTGCAAGTAAGTGGATGGAGCTAGAGAACGTCATCCTGAGATAGTCCAGATCCCAGACACACCATAGAACTTCGTTATCTAATTTCATTGTGCCAGCTAACTCCTAAAGTGACTAGAAGCTTCCATTGTGAAGGACAAAATCCATCTGTTGCTGTTAGCGATGAATGTGATGGCAGGGTCAGTAAGATGATTCAGTGTATTCAGGTGCTTGTCACACAAGTTAGGTGGCTTGTGGTTTGATTCCCAGAGCCCATGTGGTAGGAGAAAACTCCTGAAAGATGTTCTCTAGATTCCACAGGTGTGTTGTGGTGCTTGCATGCCCACACTCACTAAATAAAGTAATAAAAAAGAATGTGACATACGTATATCAAAACTTCATATTATGCCACATAACTATATGTTATTATTGTCAGTTAAAATAAAGTATGGGAGCCGGAGACATGGCTTAGCAGTTAAGAGTGCTTACTGTTCTTCCAGAGGGACCTGAGGTCAGTTCCCACAGCCTCCACTGGGCTGTGCTCATCTCTGGTGTGTAACCCCAGTTCTGGCCCTTCTGTGGCATTCTAGGAAACCCACATGTAGGTGGCGTGTACTCTCATAGACACATAGGAAATAATTGATGGGCAGGAAACCTACTAATATGTCTCAAATTAAGATTTGGGGAATAAATTCTAATGTAGTCTATAAGTTTCTGGTGGTTAATATCAATTAATAGAACATTTTTTTTTAAATCTTTATCAAGGAAACAGGAAAGAGTGATTCCTTAAACAGTTCAGAATACTCAGTAAGCTCACAGTTTGTTTCTCATATGACAGGTGAGATTGATGACATTTAGGAAGAAATTAAAACATGAAATTTTACAAGGAAATAGGTGACTATGAAATTAGTTCATGAAAAAGCTAGGGTCTTATGGGTACAACTATTTTTGCTTTTAAAAAATTTGGAATGTAATTTGTATTCATGAAATTCTCACTCTACACTTTTCTTTCCTGTGGTTTATGTATTTCCACAAAGTTGTGCAGCCATCTCCACTATAACCCCCCCCCCCACACACACACACACACTGTAAACATTTTCATTGTTGAAGAAACCCAGCGTGGAGCCACCCCTCCTGTCTTTGGCAACCACTGATCTAAATCTGTGTAGATTTGCCTGTTTGGGCTGATTTTAGTTTCAAATAGATAACAAATTATAGGGTAATGGTAAGAAAAACTAAATCAGGAATTATTATAATTGTCTAGGCACAATACAAACTTAATAGTTTTCAAACAATCTACTGATAGAAAATACACTATTTATATACACCAAAGATGTTTTTAAGCTGCTATTTTAATTTTTTTTCAATATGTTATTTTGAAGTACTTTGTTCCATTGATTTGGTCATTAATATACAGTTAGTTCTCCATATCTGTTGTTTCTAAACCTGGATTTAGCCAATCTTAGATGCAAAATGGAGTTTGGGCTACTATAGTAGTTTTACGTGTACTGAATAGATTTTATTCTTGGCCATTTCCAAAGCTCTGCAGTATAGCAAGTTGCATTTCTATCATATTGGGTATTCTGAGTAATCTAGAGGTGATTTACAGAATACTTGTTGCGGGAGGCTGCTTGTTGGTTTCCCAGCCACCTGGCAGCTCAGACCTAAAATAATCACACAGAAACTGTATTAATTAAACCACTGCTTGGCCTATTAGCTCTAATTTCTTATCTGCTAGCTCTTATATTTTAATTTAACCCATTTCTAGTAATCTGTGTTACGTGGCTGTGGCTTACTGGGTGAAGTTCTGTCTGGCTCCCACAGGGCTACATGGCTTCTCTCTAACTCTGCCTCCATTCTCCCAGCATTCAGTTTAGTTTTCCCCGCCTATCTAAGTTCTGTCCTATCAACAGGCCAAAGCAGTTTCTTTATTCACCAATGGTATTCACAGCATAAACAGGGGAATCCCACATCAAATACTGGAGATTATTAGTGTTATTGCAGATATCTACTGGTTTGAATGAATTTTTGGATTATAGTATGGAGAGGAAGGTGTTTTACAACCAGTCTAAGATACAGAGGGGGACTGTAAGAGGCTAGCAATCAGTAATGTTCCTTTATGGTTAAACAAACAAACACTATTTTATATGGTTTTAAAACAAATGCTGTGGTTTGTGCCTACCAGGCTCTTCTCAAAAAATAAAGTTAGCTACTGATACCTTGTTTGAGCAATATTAGAGTTATTCATGTCATAAATATAACTTAAAATTGCTTATTAAATTTAGATTTGACTTATTTTTGTTTTCTAGTTATATATGAGGCGTAAGTATGAGGAATTTATATTTGTTTATATTTAAGTGACATTTTAAAAACATGATTCAGTGTCAATAGAAGGTCTTTAAATTTCTTTAAAAAGTTAACATTTCTATATAGAAGAGCTGGAATATGAGACCAATTTGAGCTACATAGTGAAAAGTAGGATCTTCTCTTCTAAAACCAAAAGTGTACATTCAAGTATGACAGATACTGTTTTAGACATCCATTGATTTTGCTGTATATAAGTTTAATTTCAAAGTTATAGATTCTGTTTTTATTTTAAAATTTAGTCTCAGTCATGATGTGAAACTTATTTCTTCATATCATAAATATTTTCGGTGGGGAATCTAAATTTATATCGACTAGTTTTATTAAAAAGCATGTTATTTCTGACTATAGAGTAAGTATTCAAGACTTATTAGATGAGGTAAAACTGAAATGGTCATGAGTGCCCTAAGGAAGAGCAAAGAATGACTTCAAGAGAATTCCTTCCCCTGATAATGGAGTGAAGTACAGCATGAATGTGCTTGGTGAGTGAGTGTTGAAGGTTTTGAGCATGTGATTGAGACAGTGAGGGGGAGAAAGTTGAAGGTCAGAGACACATGGAAGAGTCCCCAAGAGCGGTGGGCAGGGTGATGTTGACACATGAGAACAGCTGGCTGGGTTCAAGGTGCATAGTCAGTGCCTTTCTCAGTTCTAGTTAGAGGTTTAAAGTTATCCATGTAACAAATGTGAAGAGACTACAGAACACGTAAAGGTTTCAAAAGGAAAGTAAAACCTGCAATCAGTGTTCTGCAGGCACCCACACAAATTGGGGAGGGGGTGCTTCCTGCTGCTCTTCTCCACTCTGCTCCAGCAGTGTACCCCCCATCGCTAGTTCCTTCTGCTAGACTCTTGCCTAGTGTGTTTGCTGGCCTGCTTTCTAGATGCCAGTCACCTCTGTTCATGTAGCACATCGCTCTCTAGCAACACTTGATCCACTCAGTGTCCTGTCCAGTGTTACTCCTAGTGAATGTGACCCTGGGACTAGTACAGTTTGTAGTGTTTACTTGTTGTTAGTTATTTGAATTATTTGATGAAGAACTTTAGATTTATTTACATATTTAATGGAGGTCTCAAGATATCACTTGCGTTTTTTAGGAATGTTTTCATTTTTCAGTGTAAATTATATGCATGCTATTGTAGACTTTATAAAAATCCCCAGAGGAGTCATCCCTCTTGACTGTTAAGGGTGTGTTATGGAATGTACTTCTGTCTAATCTGCTTTCGTGGCCCCATTAGGGTGTATCACCATCTTGTACATTGTGGTTTGACATTCTTCATCAAAACATATGGGTAGATTCTCCCTTCTTCCCTCCCTTCTCTCTCCATCTGTTTTCCTTTCACTGTCTCTCACTGTCTGTCCTTCTGTCCTTCCCTTCAAGGGTTAAAGTATTGAACTTCAGGTTTTGGTACCAGAACTTATAAAGTATTTGTAAAGTACAAGTCGATGACTTATGGATTGTGTGGGCACCACACTTGGCTTCCATGGTGCCTGTGTGACTACTGCCATGAGATTTTCCTAACTGTCAGCTCTGTCTTCAGGTACACTGAAGAGATGGTGCCCTGGCACCCTTGCCTGAAACTTATTAGCAATTGTGAGCAGAAGCTTTCCAGTCACACAGCAAGGCGCTTGATCACAATGGAAAAGGTGAAGGAATTTGAGGTATGTTGCCTACATTTATTTTTTTAAACTTGATCTTTCCAGATAGTTTTCCTGGAGTAGGATTTGGAAATGTTACTCTTGATTTTGATGGTATAAGTGAATTTAGGAAGAAGCAAGTTAAGGAAATTTGTGGCATTTGGTTGTAGGAGTGGAATGGAGGGGTTTTTTAGAAGAGAAGACACTCACTGATGCCATGGGCTTTTTTAGGTGTCCTGTTGCAAAAGCATAACTCTGTGACTACAGACGTGAATGTTTGTGTTTATCTGTTAAGAATGTGTTCATGCACACACATGCCATGGCTCACGTGTAGAAGTCAGGACACCTGAGGGAGTTGCTGCGCTTCTTCTACCATGTTGTTTCCAGGGATTGAACACAGGTCATCAGGCTCGGTGGCAGTCACCTTGACCTGTGAGCCATCTCACCGGCTGAATTGTCAATTTTCATAGAGACAATGATTCTTTATTTAAGGAAGCAAGGAAACTATCCTCATTTGTTAGAGTACAGTGTCAGTAATCATTCATTCTCATAGTCTCTCTTTCATTCTCTCTCTCTCTCTCTCACACACACACACACACATACACACACACACAAACACACAGTATATTTAAGTTTTAATAACATTTATTACTTTCTATCTAGAGATCTAGATTAGAAGTGATGTAACTAGTACCTTCTTTAATGCCACTTCAGTATCAGGACAAAATGTCCTTTGTGCTGTTCTTCTCTGAACTGACTGGCTCTCCCAAATGTATTGGCTGCTTGGACAAGCCTTGTTCTTATAGGGCAAGCAGAACAGTTGTGCCTGAATATTTTCTAATGCCCATCTCCACTCTGCATTTGATTGATTATCATCTAATTTATACCTTATGGGTCTTTCACAATAGTAATTGATACACTGCCTTTTGTGTCTGTCACTTTGCATCTTTCATCCCTTTCCCATTAGTTATCTGTCTTTAATTTAGATTCTTATTAGCACATAATTGGTTTATGCTGACAGATCCCAATCTTCCTCCTGTCTTGTTCATATCTATTAAGCAGATTCTCCTAAAATATGGCATTTATGTTACTTTATGCAAAATGTTTTAGTTAATAATTTTTACTAGTAGATAATGTTTATAAAGTTTTCAGCATGGTATAAATTATCCTCAGTAATTATTCTCCAACATCAAGACTTTTCAGGAAACTAAGCTATTCATCTAGATAAGTAGTTGATGGTTAACTACTAGATGTCTGGGTATTTTTATGCTTGGGTGTATAGATATATGTGGTTTGATGAGAATGCGAGGTAGTAGTTAAAAAAACACAACAGCCACCTGTTTATGTTACGGCCTCATCTCCTCAATTACTATTTAGACAATAGATACTTATGGGATGGACACGGTTTTCCAGTGTGCTCCTAAAGTTTATCTGTGTACTTACATTTAAGAAGGGATATTACTTCTAAACCATTGATATTACACATTTTGTACTGGATAATTTTCCTAATTAGAGTTCCTTGTGGAAATCAAGTCCTGTCCCAAGTATGACAATGTACCATTAGTTGTTTAGAACGTTGCAGTTCAGAAGCTCTCAAGAGTGGTTTCCTTATTTATCAACACAGTGACAACCTTCAAAAATGTCCATTTTGAATCCAGTAGAAGCCCTGTATCTTACTGTCCATTGCAGTTGACTGATCAGTACTGGCCGCTCTGACTCAAACCCACCTGTTTGATGTTGGTAATGTGTTAAATACTTCCAGTTGTAGGCTTACTTCCATGTACCAATTAAACTTTCTGTTTCCCCAGAGTTACTTGTGCTTTTCTCAGGGCTGTTTTGTCCAGGTAGAAGTGCCACCGTCTGATGACCTGAGTTTGATTCCTAGAACCCAGATGGAAGGCGAGAGCCAACTTTCACAAGATGTTCTCTGATTTGTGACACCTGCAGCCACTCCCAAATGAAATAAGTAAATAAGTGTAGCTTTTAATATGTATATAAAGACTTAAGTTGAGAATAGAAAAAGGATCACAGTTCAAGTTTCTGGACTCGGTTTGCTTTGTAAGACACTTAAGTTCTTGGTTTACTTGATGCAAGACAGAACTAGGGCTCTATAGGTTTAATTTCATAAAGGCTGATAAACTGCTGTATAAATATTTATTAGTGAATCGGTATTTTAAACTACAGAAATATCTCTCGTTTGTGGAAGTGGGAAGTGCCAAGGTTGTTTTCTAGGAGGTGGAACTGCTCTCCTGGCATCTTGGTGTTTCCCTTGTTGCAGTGCCTCACATAGCCTTTGTTGGTCAACCTGCCCAATGTTGTCTCTTCCTTTTCACAAAGATACTGGTTACAGTGGATTAAGGCATACCATTACAACATCTTTTACCCTTAATTTCTGCCTCAAAGTCCTTGTCTTGAAAAATAGATTTTGAAGTAAGTCTTTTTTAAGTGTTGGGGGAGAGGGGTTATGTTAGTCCCTAATGCTAACCATCATCAGCTTAATAGGCTGGTTGTTGGTAGAGCCACTCTTCGTTCCCTGTCAGTGGCATCTCGTGTATTTGTATGTTTTTCTCTTGATATGTTAAAGGAAGTGAGGTGTTGGAGCATTTAATAGTAGCTTTACAGCTTCTATGGATTATAGCATTTAACATAATCATTTGAGTTGGTGATGAATTATACTGGTAGCTGTTGTGTTATGTGCCAGGACAAAAGAAATAGTTAAACAAAACAGAAATATTACTTGTAGATGTTATAGCTTTAATTCTTGTTAGCAAAAAGCAAAATATGTAACATGACCTTCCTTCATGACTTGCGTACATAAATAATAGTTCTCCATAAATTGTGTCCCACGGAATTGCCCAGCTATGGAGAAGACTCTTGGCCATTTCTGTTTTTACAGAAACTGGAACAAACAATAAACTAGGATCCTCTGTGAACTAATTTCATATATGCTTTCTCCCGAGTTTAGTTTAAGAAAGTCTGTTTTTCTTCCAAATTTATACTTCTGTAAGCAAATTTATTTCAAAGTCAAAGAAAAGTGGGCTTCTGAGAATTCTTACTGTATATTAAAATGATAAATAAGCTCATCTCCCTTGGTGTTTTCAACCTGTAAAAACAGGACTGCTCCTGACTTGGCTTCCTGCTTTCCATTTGTTCTTGTTTGAAGCAGGTGCGTGCCTGCGTGCCTGTGTGCATTGAGACAGTGTCTCACCATATAGCACTGACTGTCCTGGAATTCATCTGTAGATGAGACAGGCCTCCAATTCAGAGGTGTGCCCCACCACACATGCTGAAATTGATTTTTTTTTTTAAAAGGAAAACTTCCTCCTAATGGTCACATTAGTACAGGCTCCATTAGCAAGTCTTAAGTAGTGTGGGATTAACTGTTGATGTATTGTTAACGTGACTCTCTGCCATGTTTTTTTTTAATTCATTGCTTCACTTCTGCCTTCTCTTTCCTGCTGAGGAATGTCTGCAGTTACATCAGCGCTGCAGCCCTTCATAACACAGGCGAACACAGAGTTGTCAAACAGTCACGTCTGACAAATTGTTCTCAGGCTTGTTCAGTGCTGTTGATCTTGGCAGTGAATGAATATTAATTTTAGATTTTACACTTCATGTACTTTTGCTTTTGACTTGACAGTTGTTTGGTCTAACCAGTTTAAAGTTAGGCTTACTTGATATGTTGGTGAAAGTATTCTCCCACCATTTAAAATGTAGAAATAAGTCATAGAAATTGGTCTAATGAATATGAATATTTATATTTTTACATCGTTGACTATAGTTTTAGACTTGTTTATTTTGTGTGAATTGTGAAGAACCTCTTGATAACCATGTCAATATTATGAAGATACCTGATAAGAAGAACCTCATTTTTGTTGTCATTATCCTTCATTGATATCTTCTAGAAGCTAAATGAATTGTTATTATCCTTCATTGATATATTCTACAGACTAAGTGAATTAAGTGCCCTGTTTTCTTGGTGCTTGTCTGTAAACACTTTTGAGTTTATGTCACCATTTCAGAGATAAAGAGCCTTCCTATAGCACACTGATGACTAAGTAAACAGCAGACATGAAAACAAGTCTTTATCCTTGAAATTTGACCCTTTTCCTACATCACATAATCTTCTACCTTATTTCTACCTTTGTAGTGTTTGATATTAAAGGTCTGTGCATGCTGTTTAGGGACAAGATGCTTCCCTATCACACACATGACCTAGGGGTTCATTATAACTACCACAAAAATAGATAAGCAACAAATATTCTTAAGCATTGAATTCCTAGCCTCTTTTAAACATACTCCTAATTTCCCTGTTGTCTTTAGCCAGTGTACTCAGGATGCCATGACAGGATGTAATAAGTTTTTCTAAGGTCACTTTTCCTCTTCTCATTGACACACAGTTAATGGTACTGTGTATAGTTGTGATAACTCTATGAAATATTTGTTTATATATAAAATTCACTGAATAAAAATACTGATCTCCAAAAAATAAAGGAATTCTAATCTCCAGAAATCTCTAGATTAGAACAGAGTGTGTATAAGGGACTATGCATTCAGTGCAAACTACCTAAAATCAGTATGCTCTCAATGGCTTCTGCCAGTACCTACTAGAACCAGATGAAATACTACCTAGAGTAGCTACTTCACAGGTTTTTCTTGACTTTTTTTCTTTAAGAGATTTATTTTTATTCATGTATATGTAAGTGTATGAGAATGCATGTGTGCATGCATGCATACATCTCTGTGTGAGTATATGTATGTCTGTGTTTGTATGCCATGTATGTGCAAGTGTCCATGGGTACCAGAAGAGGGCATCAGATTCCTTAGAACTGGGGTTACAGGCAGTTGTGAGCCACCCAATGTGGGTGCTGGAAACCGAGCTCTAGTCCTCAGCAAGAATAATATGTTCCTTTAACCCACGGAGCCACGTCTCTCCAGAACCTCGAGATTAAGAAGAAAGAAAACAAAGGCATGCAACCTTTCTAGTCTCCTCTACAATATACAATTGATTAAAGATAAATACA